AATTATCTTATTAAGAAGATAATCATATTTTATCAGAAGTAATTCTTGCATATATTATCTTATTGAGAAGATAATTAGTCATATAATCTCTTGAAACTATAAAAAATAAATAGCTATCATGAATATAGTTACTATTACCATTTTAAAATAATTATATACATATAATTTTAAAATGATAATAATATAATAAATATATTCTCCTTCTCCTAAATATATTTCTAGAATGAGTTATAAAAAAATTAGCAAACTAAATTATGTATATATATGTGATCTTTTATTTCTTACACATGACAAATATAAGAGAAAGACATGGAAGGTAGTGTTATAAATTATAGATATAAATAGCCGGTATAAGATCTTAATTTCTCTAATATTAAAAAAAAGTTCTAAGATTATCAAAGTATTTAAAAAAATTTATAATGATCTCAATAATTCACTTACTTATCTCATACTTTTACAAATTAATAATAATAAGATATGAATAGATGAAATAGCTTATTTAATGCAGGAGTATAATATAATAATCTGAGTAATTGGTACATACTCTCATTATAATATGATTATTATAAATAGATTCTGTAAGATGCTCATAGAAATATTATACAAGATTCAATATACTATTGAAAATATAATTTCAAATCCTACATTAATAAGAAAGTGAGTTAAGTAATTGCTAGAAGTTATTAATTATTTAAATAATTATTCAACATATCTCATTTGAGCTCCAGATTCTTCAAAGTGAAATTTAGCTCCAAATAAGATAATCAAGTTAGCAAAAATCAAATCTAGACCATCTATAAAGTATAAGCATTCTATTAGGAAATATGAAGAAAAGTTAAAGAAGAATGACACAGTTTATTACTTATTAACTGATAAAGAATAGGAAAAATTATTAGATTTAGAAAATCGCAAAAGTACTGATCCTTTATGAAGTTCTTCTATACATAAAATTTATAAAATTATTATAACAAAGAATAAATCTGTTTTATATTATTTAAAAGATGATGAGTTTATATCAAAGAGAAAGTTCATGCATGAGAAATTAATGTTAATTAATCTAGAAAAATTTCAGTATCCATCTCAAAGTATATTGGAAGAAAATACTTGTTCTAGATTTATTAATTTCATTTGTATTATTAATAAAATAGTTAAGACCTGAGCTTATGTGAAGAAGTGAAATGAGAAGTATTTTGACAAAACTAGTAATATAAATAGATTCAATATATATCTCTGATCTTGTGAAAAAGAACTCTATTAATAGGAAGCATCTTATAGGATCCAGAAGTAGAAATTCAAATGATACTTAGTTTGTTCACATTTTAAAGAGGAGTATTCTGCAAGATATATTTTTAAGAATTTACTAGATAAGAAATTTTTATCTTGTTTAGATAAATTTTTGCGTGAGTTATATTTAGATAGTTATAATAAGAAATTATAATTGATATTTGAATTTCAAGAATCTTAGTACTATTATCACAATTCAATATTTTATAAGCAAGATCAGATAGACTTGAAATAACAAAAATTCTGAGATCAAAAAAAGTAGGATATATCTTATTGAAGCATCTTATACATGTGATTTGTTTCCTTATATAAAAAGTAAATTGCAAGAAAAGAATTATTTATCACATAAGGAATAAACTTATAAGATTCATCAGAATAATGAAATTTATGCTTATACTAGTATATCATATTGATGAGATCAAAAATGCTGAAAAATATAATGAACATGAAGCTGGATCCCAATGGTCTTTTAAAATTCTAGTTTCAGGATGAAGCAACTCTGAAAAAACAAATATGATTATTAATCTCTTGCTTGAAGACAAACTTTATTGGATATTTAATGAAAAAAAAGAAGGAAATCGCTATATTAAAAATGATGATCTTGTTCTTTTTGAACATCATCTCAAAGAATCAAAATACTTATATCTCCGGGATTGTTATCGGATAATTGCAAATAGCCCAAAGCCATTTTATGAAAATATTACATTTTGGGTGATGAAGCCTGATAAAATTCCAAAGGTAGATGAATTCTCCCCATCAAGGAGTACAGTAGCCATATTCGAAGATCTATGCAATGAATCTAAGAAGGTTCAAGATAAAATTATTCCTTATTTTACTGAAGGGCGTCACTCTAATATTAGTTCTATATATATAACACAATCATTTTTCGATTGCCCATCAATAATAAGAAAAAATCTGGATTACATTGTACTCTTTAATGGGAGTTGTAATACAGATGATCTCACAAGAATTCTTCGTCGATATGTTAATAATTGGCGTAATGTCGTTAAAATCATTGATAAATTTTTACATGGTAGGGAATTCATTGTTATTGATTTAACTAGAGAAAAAGACGATCTATTATTTATACGTGCCGGCTGGGACAAAGAACTTGATCTTTCTAATAAGTAGAGCGAGATTTCAGATATTCGAGGTATTTTTCTGCCTGTTGCAATTCGATTTTCTTTTCTTCAACCTCACATCGCAATTTCTTATTGGCTTTCACTCGCTCCTCATGCCTTATAGTAATTTCTCACATAAATTTGCCAAAAGTTTTTTCATTATATTCCAGTAATCGCTGAAATAAAACATCGACCTCTTTCTTGACCCGTTTTTATACATTGCCGAACAGTCACAAAGTGGCTAGGAATTCTGGCGAAGGAAAAAAGTTATTTCGGTAACTAACTCGACTTTACTTAATGAAGATGCTACGCAGGACACAAAGTGTCTTAAAATCATTTTCGGATTTGGTGGATCAGGAGAGGGGATTACTATCGGATAAAATCCGTATAAAGCATTATAAAAGAGATTACATTGGGTAAACCCAACCCATCACTAATCATTTTTATATCTCTAACTACACTTACTGTATCTCATTTTACGATACGCATAAGGGGCATATAGCATCCTAAATTCAAGATTTCACGTGTATCGCCAATACATACCCGATTTACACGCGAAAAATATTAAATTAACGACCGAGTCTCGAATCGGCTAGTATGATTGGCACATCTTCCAAAGGAAGTACCTCTTAATCAGGATCTTGGACGCAAAAGTTTGAGGTGTAACAGATTGATCGTGGGAAAGGGGTTAAATTGGTGTAAGTCAGTACATTAGTGTTAAAAATTGAATATAAATATGCCACTTACATAGCAATGGGTAACTTTTACAGAATATTCAGCTCACTTGCCGTCTTGCTCGAGATATTGAAGCTAATTCTGAGAAATTTTATATTGATGTTAATACCAGTAATACTATTGATTCTCTCGAAGAGAAAATTTTCGACGAAGTCAAGAAAAAAAATAATGACATCTTTTCCGATATTAAGGCCAGTGATTTAAAGCTTTGGAAGGTACAAATTCGTAATGATAAGGAAGATGACTTTTCAAGCCTTGATTTACAAGGTGATGAGAAAGACATGAAGATACTCCGAGGAATAACTGGCAATTATTGGAAGAAACAGCCTTCTGAAGAATTTACTCATATTATCGTTGATTCACCACTTTTAGTAGCGAGACGAGGTTTACGAGAAAGGGATATACAGATTCAGGATAGAGATGAATCATTGGATTTATTAAGTTTCGAAGAATGGGACTACAAAATCCGGGTATGCAAAATATTTAGATTTTATATTATATGATAAATTCAGATGTTTTTCACGCGCAACACGATAAACTTATAACTGATAATTTAATAGAACATCAAGATTTAGATATTCTTGAAGATCTTCGAACTGAAACTAAACGATTTTGTTATGCTCTTGTAGCAAATAGAGTTTCATGGACAAGAATGGTCGCAGAAATTGGAACTAATCCTGTAAGGACGAAAAGTATTGATAAGCGAACACTACAGAAATTTTGTAGCGGTGAAACAAAAAAACCTGATGATGAAGTTTTGCTTTTAATTAAGGCCTGGGTAATTAAACAAAGAGAGGAGGAAGTAATTTAATTATTATGTTATCGAAGAAATTTTTTATTTTTGTATTTCATTTTGTCGTACCAGCGCAGTTATACAGATAAAAAGCAGAAATATTCTACTACTGATAGATCACGAATTTTTTACATAAGAATCAGTCAAAGGTCCCTTACTACGTAAAGAGATTATCACAATGAGTGGCCATGACCCTTTAGGTCAGATTGCTTTATTGATACGATATAAAATACATGTGAGGCGGAAAACTATCTACCCATTACTTTGTAAATTTTTCAATCCTGGCCTTTTTACTGGTCGGGGAATTATCTACACTGACCCGATCCTTTAACAATCCAACAATAACACCCAACACCCGTTTTACGCCTTTTCGAATTGAGTCAAGATCTTTGAGTGCCATTTTCGAAAGGTTAATTTGATATTCGCTTTTACTGGTACAATAAAGGCCATCGGTGGCAAAAACGATAAAATGCCATTCCGTGGCTAAAAATATTAAGCAATAATTAGTAAAAAAATCAGGAAAAATTCAATTATTTCGATCGTTCACGCTTTTTGCCAAGAAAAATTCACATATATACCTGTAGAAACTATCCCATAGAGATAATCGTAATCATCATCCTTGAAAGCTTCATCTGCGGTACGTTTCTTCTTATTGGTATGGTACGCACTCTCTAGTTGCATGATGTTTTGGAGATAACCAATTTCGACATTACGGGGTTTGCCTTCAGCTATACACATTAGATCCTCGTTTCCTTTTATTGCGTAATCGACACGTCCAGATGCTTCCTCACCAGAAATACTTTTTTGATATGATATATAGATTTTTTCCTCATTTGTAAGTCTTCGAACGATAGCCAGTGATGCATTTAATATCGATGTAATAAATACACAACGCGTGGCTTCGTTAGCATTAGTTTGCATCGTTTCCAGATTTGAGAGTCTTAGTGTTATTTCATTCATGCACTGCTCAAGTGCTTTATCGTCATCATCGATTTCCTCGAAAACTATACAATAGAAAAACAAATTATTATATATCTGAAATTATTACGATCGTTTCCCAAGGAAACGGTTTTTGCCGATCACTTTTGCCAAGAAATTTGCGGGACATTATGTCTCGGAAAATTGCCAAGAAATTTCAATTATTCCGCGTGAAGAATTCTTCACGCTGATCACTTTTGCCAAGAAAAAATAACCTATCGATATACTACATACCCGGATTGAATTGCTTGATGCTCGTTATATCCTCCCCATTGACTTTGTATTTATGGAGTACGTCCTTTAACTCATCCAGAGTTTTGTAGGAGAAGCTTCGTATCTTTTGTTCTGATATCCTTTCAACGAATTTTGCCAGTCTTGTCGCAGGCCCTCCCAACATCCCCCATCTTTCTAATTTCTCTTCTGTTAATTCGACAAAGTCCAAACCTGCAACCTTTTGTTTACGCAGAATTGATAAATCATCATTATCGAGGTCCAAATCTTCCTGCCTCTGCAAGTAATCGAGAAGTTCTCCCGTCTTATATTTTTTAACAACGTCCGCCTTCGTGCGAGTTGACCTTTCTTCCGTCAAAGTAGAGGATGTAGAAACTGGGGATGAAGGTGAAGAAGCGTGTGAAGACGTGGTGGTATTTTTATATAGATGCTAGATATGATCAAAAAAATCTGGTTTATGTATCCCGCTAAGAAAAGCTAGGTAATGCAATGTGAAAAATGAAAATTTTTATCGTCTCTATTTTGGATGGATCAGTGGCTTTATATACATGCGGTAGAAGTTACACGAACTGATCAGGAGATAAGTACACGAGTAATACGCGCGTTATGCCATTTTAGTGGCGCCTGCTTTATTATTACGAAAAACTTACCCGTAGTAAGGCAGATACAAAAAATAAAATTGCGAAATATATATCGCTAATACATGATGTGAGATACAAAAAATCTAGCCTGAGGCTGGTGAATGTCTAATTATTTTCTTCTGGTTCTGAAAGAGATTCTATGATAATATCAGAAAATTTTTGAGAGCACAGTTTTGTATAGATCTTCAGGTTCAAAATCTGCGCAAAACTTCAAACCTGGTGACAATTGGTAAAGAAAAAAAAATTAAAAAATCTGCACAAATCTGTAACAAAATGTAGATCTGCACAAATCTGTAACAAAATATAAATCTGCACAGATTTTTTAATTTTTTTTTAAAATTCTGTGCAAAATTTTGTAATATCAGTTTCAAGTAGCAGTAGTAATTTCAAGTAATTGTAGCAGTAACAATTTCAAGTAACAGTAGAATTCATAGGTTAAACAATAGTAAAGATATTTATTTTATTGTAAACTATATATTGTTATCATTTTTGGTATCTCTTGAAAAAATTATTTCATGATAGATTAATAACTTTATATATAATATTTAGTCAAGATAAGATATAATAAAGATATTATTAATTACGGGTGGGAGAGACTAATATAATCAAAGATATAATGTAATAGACATTAGATTATGATTATAATGAGGTTAAAGATAGATAACAAGGATGTGTTCATGACGTGATCAGCTAAAATGAGATCTGGAATCATAATATAAGAAATGTATTATAATAAATAAGATATTATTAATAAAGGTCATTAATTTATAATATTATTATGTTTAAATTATTATTTCATCTTATTATTATTTAATTCATTAGTTTATTTATTATTTATTAATTCATTTTTATTTATTTTATTCATTAATTATTCATTTTTCTAACTAAGATACATTACTTTTATACATTTTAGAGGTTTTACAAATGATACTTTTGTTATGATCTAAATGCTA